TTTGTTGTTTATTATTATTATTAGTATTATTATTATTATTATTATTATTATTATTATTATTATTATTATTATTATTATTATTATTATTATTATTATTATTAATATTGTTATTGTTATTATTGTTATTATCATCATCATTATCATTATTGTTATTATTGTTTTATTGATAATAATAAAAGTAATGATAATGATGATGATTAGATAATGTTAATATGATAATAATATGAAAATAATGATAATAATAATGATAATAATACTGATATTAGCATTGATAATGGTAATATTATTATTATTAATCTTATTATTGTTCTTCTTCCTCTTCTTCTTCTTTTTATTATTAAATTAATAATAATAATATTATTATTATTATTATTATTATTATTATTATTATTATTATTATTATTATTATTATTATTATTATTATTATTATTATTATTATTATTATTGTTATCATTATTGTTGTTATATTATTATGTTTATGTTTATGATTTTATTGTTATTATTATTATTATTATTATTATTATTATTATTGTTATTATTATTATTATTATTATTATTATTATTATTATTATTATTATTATTATTATTATTATTATTATTATTATTATTATTATTATTATTATTATTTTGTTTATTATTATTATTATTATTTTTATTTGTCATTATTTTATTGTATTATTATTTTTATTATCGTTGTTGTCATTATTATTGTATTATTATTATTATTGTTATTATTATTATTATTAGTATTATTATTATTAATATTATTATTATTATTATTATTATTATTATTATTATTATTATTATTATTGTTATTATTATTATTATTATTATTATTATTATTATTATTATTATTATTATTATTATTATTATTATTATATTATTATTATTATTATTATTATTGTTGTTTGTTGTTGTTGTTGTTATTGTTATTGTTATTGTTATTATTATTGTTATTGTTATTGTTATTATTATTATTATTATTATTATTATTATTATTATTATTATTATTATTATTATTATTATTGTTATTATTATTTTTATTATTGTTATTATTTTATTATTAATTATTATTATTATTATTATTATTATTATTATTATTATTATTATTATTATTATTATTATTGTTATTGTTATTATTGTTATTGTTATTGTTATTGTTATTGTTATTGTTATTGTTATTGTTATTGTTATTGTTATTGTTATTATTATTATTATTATTATTATTATTATTATTATTATTATTATTATTATTATTATTATTATTATTATTATTATTATTATTATTATTATTATTGTTATTATTATTATTATTATTATTATTATTATTATTATTATTATTATTATTATTATTATTATTATTATTATTATTATTATTATTATTATTATTATTATTATTATTATTATTGTTATTGCCATTGTCGTTACTATTGTAATTGTTTATTTCCATATATTTATATCTTTGTCATTATTATTGTTATTGTTTTTATTATTGTTATGTTATTATTGTTAATATTATTGTTATTGTTATTATTATTATTATATTATTATATTGTTATTATTATTATTGTTATTATTATCTATTATTATTTTTATTATTATATTATTATTTTTATTATTATTATTATTATTATTATTATTATTTATTATATTATTTTATTATTATTATTATTATTATTATTATTATTATTATTGTTATTATTGTTATTTTTATATTATTATTATTATTATTGTTATTGTTATTATTATTGTTATTATTATTGTTATTATTATTATTATTATTATATTATTATATTATTATCATTATTATTATCATTATTGTTATTATTTTATTGTTTTATTGTTATTATTGTTATTATTTTTATTGTTATTATTATTATTATTATTATTATTATTATTATTATTATTATTATTATTATTATTATTATTATTATATTATTATTATTATTATTATTATTATTATTATTATTATTATTGTTATTATTGTTATGTTTAAATCCTTTTGATGTGTGTTTTGTGGTATATCTTGATATATTTATTTATTAATAATAATTCCTTTGTTCCAACAGGGAAATTCTGTGGTGGCTTGGGAGATATGAAGGCTTCAGACCTTGGAAGTATAGTCATTAAGGAAGCGTTGGACAGGGCAAAAATTCCACCAAAAGATGTATCAGAAGTCATTTTAGGACAGGTAAACATTGATAAATATTTTGTATGTATAGGCTTATATACCAGTTTTATAGCAAATACAGGAGTGCATGTGAAGAGGAAATTAGCAACTACAGTATGAACAGAATGATTATTGTGCAGTATAATTGTAGGGTTTAGCTCTATACAGCATTGAACTATATTCGCATGTCTGTATTTTATTTTTACTTCCACACAAGATTTCAAGGTTTGCAAAACACAATGAGTTGTATGCACTGGTTATCATAAAGTTCCATTTCTTGCATAGTCTCCATTGTTGTACAGCTGATGCAGTCGGTGATATGTCAAGGAC